AGTTAATAGATGTCTGTTGGGTCCCTTTGATTAATAATATTTTTGAGGTCTGAAGAGTCTTTTTTTAGTTTATATCTGAATGACTTATCTACCAGTGAGATAGGTATATGGAAATTAAGGTCTGAGACTTTATACATAATATAGTTTGTTTAAGTAGTGCATTGACATTTGGAGCATAAATATTTACAATCATTATATTTTGTTGTTGAATATTCAGTTCTCTTAGCCAGTATTAAGTGACCTTCTTTGATCACTTCCTTTTTTGATTAATTTTGTCAAATATAAGAGTAGCTACTCCTACTTGCTCTTGGTCTCCATTTGCATGGTATACCTTTGTCCATCCTTTCAACTTCAGCCCATGGATGTCTTTACCTATAGGGTGAGTCTTTAAAATATATATATATATCTGCGTCTTGTTTTGTAATCCACTTTGCCAGTCTGTGTCTTTTAGATGGTGAGTTGAGACCATTGACATTCAGTGCCAATTTTATTTATTTTTAATGTTTAATTCAGATTTGATTGTTATCTCTGTAGAGATTCAACCATTTGCTGGCTTTAATGTTTGGTTTTTATTTCTTCTGTGTGTAATATTTCTTTCTATATCGTTGCTTAATAGTCATGAATTCTTTTAGTTTATGCCATCTTGAAAGATTTTATTTTATCCTCAATTTTGAAAGATAGCTTTTCTGGACATAGCAATCTTTCCTGGCAAATGTTATCTTCAGGACTTGGAAGTATTACTCCCAGCCCTCCTGGATTTTATAGTCCAGGCTAAAAGATCAGAAGAAATCTAATTGGCTTATCTCTAAATGTTACTTGCTATTTTTCTCCTGCAGTTCTTAAAATTCTATACATGTTCTGTATATTAGTCATTTTAACTGTTATGCATTTTGGAGAGGATCTTTTCAGATCTTTTCTATTTAGGATTATTAATATGTCTTGTATTTGGATTTCTATCTCATTCCCCAATTTTTCTTATTTCACTGAAAAGTTTATGCATTCTTTTAGTTTATATTTCAGTGCCTTCCTTTAAGCCAATGATTCTCAGGTTTGATCTCTTTATGTTATCCCAGATTTTTTTGGATATTCTGCTCATGTTCTTTTGTAATCTTTTCTTTATTGCTAACTTCATTTTCAAGATTATATACCTTGTCCTTTGAGGCCTGAAAATCTGTTCATGTGGTGTAATCTATTGAAAATGTTTTCAAATGAATTTTTTAATTTGATTTATTGAATGTTTCATTTATAGGGTTTCTGTTTTGTTCTTTTTGAGAATCTTTTTCTCTTTTATTGAAATGTTCTTTCACTTCTTATATTTTCTCCCTTAGTTTGTTTCTTAGGTCTTTTTTTAGTACATTGATCACTTTATGGACTTTCTAAATTTTTTGTCAAAAAATTTCCTCCACTGTGGTTTCAGTGGGATTAGTTGTTGAAGTGTTGTGGGCTATTTGAAGTGACTTGTTCCCTTACTTTTTCATATTCTTTGTATTTCTACCCATCTGCTGAAATGATTATTTCTTCAACTTTTATGTCAGGGACTATTTCCAGAGCTTCTTTATCTTAAGTGCCCCAGGCTGGGTGAATATCTAAGTGTTGATACTCCTACCCAATATGTTCACCCTGCTATACCCAGTATCCAATACCACTTTGAGAGAAGATACTAAACTCTATTAACAGCAGTCACTTTATAGCAAAGCTATGTACTAATAAACCTTATGGGGAAAAAATATTATTAAAAATATTCTCCACAATTCCCCTAATCCAAATAAAAATTGGAGTAGTGTTCTTGAATAGATTCTGAAATTAATTATGAATGATAGTAAGATTACTATTAAATTATATAGATGTTGAAAAGCAAAAAGAGAAAAAATGGACAGACCAAAAAGTGAGAGGAAATAGAGGAGAGAACCTAATAGTACAAACTAAGAAAAAAATGGGGAATCTGAGATAGAAGCAAGTAATACAAGAGGGAAAAGAGAGACTAAAGGGACAAGTATAAGCCTTAGCTAGGAAAGGAAAAATGAATTATTCCAATTCATGCTTCAAAACATTAGAAGAAATATAATCAATTAGGTTAAGAATGGCAGTATTAAATAAGGGAAGATCTATTGATTCAATACAAAAAATATAATCTGTAAGATTAAAACTGACATTAGAATGATTTATGATATCCCATACTATTTAAGATGGGGATATTTCTTATTGAGTTTTCCTGGTTTGGGATTTCATCAAAATTTTGGATCTTTAGAAGATGCCCTACACTTTTCAGCTTTACTGCTAAGGTTCCCTTAGTGTAAACATACCAGCACACATCTGATACAGTTCTGGAAGACCCCTTCCTACTAGCTTTCCAGTGGATCAGAGGAAATAGTTCCTAATTTGTCTATCTCTTAGCAACCGGGGACTCCCTGTTAAGGGGTGCACTCCCTTCGTGGAGTTTACAACATCTTGTATGCACAAGGTTTTTTGTTGGCTGCTTGGAATTATCCTCAGGAAATGCCTTCTATGGGTTCATATGTCTCTTTGGTCAGCTGTTCTTTCACTGATTTTAATCTATGAGTCCCTGCCTAGGTTAACTCCACCATCTTTCTTCCTGAAAGCTGTAATAGCTCATTTTTTTCACAAAGGAAAATAAGTGTTAGTAAGGAATAGAAAAATTGGAATCCCCATAGATTTTTGGTCAGAATATCAAATGGTACAACTACTATAGAAAACATTTTGGCATTCAAAAAGGTAAATGTAAGAGTTACCCTATGACTCAGCACTTTCACTCCTAGGTATATATCCAAGAGAATTAAGATATATTCACACAAAAATATTTTTCATGAATGTTCATAGCAGCATTATTCATAATACATTTATGTGTAATGTCCAAATAGATAATCCATCTAGATAAGAAGTAGAATAGTGCTTGTCAGGAACTATAGGAAGTAAAAGTGTCTATTTTAATGGATTTGAGGTTTCTTTTCAGAGTGATGAGAAAGATAGTTTCAAAATTGTGAATATTCTAAAAAACACTGAATGTAACACTTTAAAATAGTGAATTTTTGTTATGTGAATTTTATCTCAATAAAAATATGCATATGAGAAAACAACCTTTAGATGACATATAGTAGTTGCAGTATACTTTTTGTGCATCTTTTAAATGTTTTTAGCTTTTGAAAATGAAAAACCATTTTATCACTACAAAAATTTAAGTTATTGTAATTTCCATAATACTTAAAAAGTTGGGGTTTTTTTTAATATCTATTTTTTAGCTATAGGTGGTGGACACAATTCTTTTACTTCATTTTTATGTGGTGCTGAGGATCAAACCCAGTGCCTCACGTGAGCTAGGCAAGCGCTCTACCACTGAGCCACAACCCCAGCCCCACTTAAAAAGTTTTTTAAATTGTGAAATGCCTACTACAGGAGTAGATATATATTTAATAAAATAAATGAGAAAATATTTGTCTTTTTATTTTTTGCTTGTCTATTTTATAATTTAATCTTATTTAGATGTTTTAGCTGTGTTAATAAAAGTTCTTTTTTAAATTTCATTAATATCTATGCCCATTAATGTAAGAACATTTCACTATAAATTTGCATCTTTTGAACGATAAGAAACAATGCAATATAAATTTTAAAATGTTTATTCCATCTCTACAGAAAAAATTAATTTTCAATGTGGGTAACATTTGTCATAATTATTATTAAGTGACCCTGGAGTTGAAAAAGACGTTAATAAAAATAGTTTAAATTTTACCTAATTCTGTTAATACACAAATGTACACTTCTAAGTAATCATTAAGCATAGTATAACATTTATTGGATATTTACTATGTAGCAAGCACCATTCTCTGAATTTTACATTTTTAACTCATTTATTCCTGATGACAACTACTGAACTGAATACAATTTTTCCCATATGAATGGAGACATAGAGAGGTCTGGTAGATGGTCAGAGTTATCCCAGACACAGCTACTAGTGAAAAGTCAAGTTGTGAACCCAGATATTCTGGTTGCAGACTTCAAATTTATAAGCAGAATGCTATACTACATAATACTTTCATTGGAAAAAGATGTTACTTTGTATTTTACGGTACAAGTGCTTTGCTAGGTTTTGGAGCTTAAATGAAATAACTAATTTCTAATAGTGGCATGAATTATAATGTGAATTTACATTGATGTCATTTAGGAATTGACTAAAGTATGTGATAACTTATTTTTCAGCTGATTTGTTGATTTGAAACTAAATCTAAGTAATATGGCCTTGAAAAAATAAAAATTGCAATTTAGACTAACATATAAAATTGTATTTACTAATGCAAAGCCCACATTATTTTATGATTCTGCTAATAAAAAAAATAAAAGCAAATAATTATATGTGTTTTCTTTCTCCAAGAAAATTCTGTTCATTTCTTTGTTTTAGTCACTTAATGGTCACATTCCAAAATTGATAAATTGGAATTCAGTGTCCCTTCACTGAATCAGAGATTTTAAATTCTGTATTCATTGTTAAGAGACATAAGCTTGCAGGTGCAAAACTAACATTTGATGTGGGTAAAATAAATGTCTTTATTCTTAGTTGTTATTTCACCCATTATTTCAGTCAATGAGTTTTTTGAATTCTTGAATTACAAACTAGTAAACAGATTGTGCACATACTTTATTTTTACTTTGTGGAAAACATAACAGTAATTACAGTTCCAGACTTTGTTTTAAGTGTAAAAATTTTTTAGAAATCTGCATAGCCACTTGTTGGAATAGCATTTGCTTTTTGTGAGTAAAAATTCAAATATTTTTAAGTTCTAGTTCATCATTAAAGCACTAAACTTCACATTTGATATTATACTTTCTCAGTTTTAGAAATATTTATATTATATGATTTAATGCTTAAATCAATTCTAAGTTATTTGTTTTTTAATAAATTGGAATGTTCTAGTATTGTTAACATTATACTTCAAAAAATTGTCATATTTACCACATAAGTTCAATAATGTGTCATTCTGCTTTTTTAGGAACTCCCTGCACCATTACTTGATGATAATTATAAAAAAGAATTTGATGAAGAAGTTCGCGATCATCAAACACCCGAAACTAATACTAAGATGAAAATAGCTTGGCGATACCAGTTGTTACCCAAGATGAAGGTAAGTCAACATACAAACTATTTCTAAAATTTGCAAATATATTTGTTTTCATTTAATAGAATCTCTTGTTGCTCCTCTTTTTCTTTAAATGCAATACAGATTTTATTTATTTATTTATTTATTTATTTATTTAAATAACTAGACTTTTGTAGTACATTTGATCATAATGATATATTTCTTTGCAAATAAAATTTTGGCAGATTTTTTTTTTATCAAAATAGATGATTTCATTTCATCCATAATCTCCACATAGAATCTTTTAAGATTGCAAACTAAAGTAAGTGAACTATTTGTATCTATTATGATTACCTGCCAATATTCAATGTAAGTGGTGGTTCCTTTCAAGTATTATTTTTATTCCTATATATTTTCAACTATTAACATTTTCAAACTCCAAGACAAACAAATGTCAATAAATCTGTCTACTGAAGTTTATAAACTCTGCTCTTCATGAATTCTCTGTTCATTTTTTAACTTCCTCATTAAGTAGATTGTTCACTTCATACACTTTTTAAAACACTTTAATGTCTATCAGACTTTATCATTTTATCATTGATAGGAAGGAGAGGAAAATTCTAATCTGGATAAAACTTTGTTCTCATAGTCCACCCCTTTCCAGTCTTCCACCTTGACATTATCTTTCCCAAGGACCAGAATATGTTTTTTATTTCGTTTGTTTGTTGTTTTGGGGTATAGGGATTGAATACAGAGTTAACCATTAAGCCTCATCTCTTGCCCTTTTATACTTTTATTTAAAGACAAGGTCTTGCTACGTTGATGAGGCTGTGTTTGAACTCATAATCCTCCTGCCTCAGCCTCCTGAGCTGCTAGGATTACTGGTGTGTGCCACCATACCTGGCCTAGGAATACGTTCTAAGTACCCTTTAACTTAAAATGCCTCATTTGGTTTTCTGTGTCTATTGTCCCCTTTTAAATGTATGGCAGATTGTCAGTTGTTATTATGACTGCCAAAATCAGACAGGGCCTTAGAATTCTTTTTTTCTTTTCTTTTTTTTTTAACGGCCTTAGAATTCTTCTGTGCAGAATGTTTTGAGTGGTCTCTACTGGCTATTAGAAAGTTAGTGTATAAGATGAAACCTATTTGCTATTATAAGCTTGCAATATAAAATATATACTTATAGGATTATATAATCTACAGAGCATAATCTGAATCTACCTTTTTAGGCACCTCACCCTGTGTTTATTCACCCATCCTATGAGAATTGTTCCTTCTACATCACTTGTATTTCTACTGGCAATGCTTTATACTTTCTTATTCACCAATTCCTCCTCCTCCTCCCAGTGTAAACATTACTACTTCAGATATTTTTTTTCTTTCATAATTACCTACATTCTCATTTCATTTTCCAAAGCACTTCATATATTTTAAAGTACTTTCACATCATTTTCTAGTTAATGATTGGTATAATTCTCCTCTGCCAGACTACAAGTTCTTGTGAGAGCAATAAGCTTTTTGAATTTTCTTCTGTATCTCTGGTACCTATGTTAATGCCCAGATAATGAATAAATATTTAGTGAATGATAAATGTATTTATTCATTCAGTCAGCAAATATCAATCATGAACTGTGTAGCAGGAATAAAACATGTTGTAATATGTACATATTAAGCAATGGCAAATTTTAGGTGTGGAAAATATTTAAAGAATAGTATTTTAGAACTGTTATTTACATGACTGTGATCACACTAAAATCTGGACAAAATATTTGCAGTTCACAGTGTAAAATATGAGCCAATTTTCTTTATATATAAAGAACTTCTAAAATAAGGAAAATTCTATAATCCTCTTTTTTTAAAAAATGGGCAAAAAATATAAAAAGGAAATTTAGGTGGCTCTTAAACCTACAAGATCAGATGTCCAATTGCACTTGTAGTAGAAGAAACTAAATTAAAACTACACTGACCTGGTATTTTTCTCTTTACAGATAAATGGTGATCTAAAAAGTTTTTCACTGTTTAGCAAAAGTCAGGGAAAACCAGTACTCTCATCTTTGCTAGTGGAAATGTACATAGGTACAGCTTCTGTGGAGGGTACTTTGTTAGTATCCTTCAAAATTATAAAAACATGTATCCTTTGATTCTTGTAGAAATTTACATCATGAATTTGTTTACTTAGTTATAAAATGAAAGATTGTGAGCTTTTCATGCAGCATATCTTAATAGCAAAAGATTGGAAATAACTTATCTATCAGTAAGCAACTAAGTATAGTTGAACTGTAGAATGCTATATACTTATATTAAAAAAATAAAAGAAAGATCTGTGTAATCAAATACTGTTACAGACATACTTGGGTGTGATTGAGAACTGAATATAAAAGGTCAGGATAAATATATTTAGTCTGCTTTGGAAAGTGTGAGTTAAGTAATGGAGATTAAAACAGATAGGAAATTTAGAACTAGCACTTGAGAACCCTAATGGCAAAGAACTGTGTGTCTTTAATCTGGAAGTTTTATTTAGTAACTGGGCTTAACAGTGATTCTTTTTTGTAAATATTAACTTGTATTCTAATTTTTCTACTGATTGTGTTGTAAAAGAGTTAATAATGAACATAAACTATGAGGTAAATGTAGCTTTTTTGTAAAGCTAAATTTTAAATTATATACTTCACTTGTTTCTTCCATTTTCTTTATTTTTACTTATATCTCAGATATTGGTCTTTCCATTGGTCTTTGACATTCTTCAAGTAAAACAGTTAGCAAAAATGCAAGCAACTGAAATTTTTAAGCCCTCTCTTTTTTGGCTTATTATGAAGTCTGTTTAGAATTGGAAAGACAGTGCTTGGTTTGTTTATAAGTTCATTGTCTCTTTATAAATTGTAATTTTGAAAAATACTCCTTCCCCTTTCACTTGGGATAATATTTCTGTCCCCTTTTACATATAAGTAGTGCTGATTACATTCTTCCTTTTAGAGAGTGGTATATCGGCCATTGCCTTGATTTTCTATGAATATAAATTTCCTCAAGGTTGAATATTAACAAATAAATTCAGTTTTCAAAATTTAAAGCTTTAGTGTTTTGAAAATTGTGCTCTTCTTACAACGTTTTCTGCAGGTTATTCTTCCATTTTCTCCAGGTGATTTCTAAAATATTACTTTATCATGACTTCCTTTGTCAGCTGATATAAAATAAAGCTACTCTCTCTATTTCATTGCCTTCACTGCTTTATTTTACTTACCAGCATTAAATCTAGCAGATGATATATTTATTTTAATATTTATCTATATTCTAGAATGTGAGCTCAGTGGGAGAAAGAGACTTTGACTCTTTTATTTTACTGAAATGTAGTTGGTGTTCAATAGTCATTTGTTGGATACATGAATGAATGAATTATATATTATGTAAGTTAAATGTTAAACTGAGTTTAATTGCATCAGTTAATACTATAAGAATGAATTTATTTTGACTTGACAGTCAATGGTCAAACTTAAGTATTTACAAGTAAGTTCTGTCAATTTTTAGAAAACAATCATGTTCTGACTTTGAAATGTCACCAGCATTGTATATTTGTCTGTCATGGTGTTTTATATTTTGCATTGCTGGGGATCGAACCCAGGGCAATAGGCAAGTGCTCTTACAAATATACTATATTCCCTGCCCCGTAGTAATTTTATATATGATGATTTATCAAGACTTCCTTCATCACTCATTATTATCTGCTTTCTAAATCTAGGCCTTACTTTGCCATTCCCAGTTTAAACAAACAAAACAGAAAACCCGGCTTTTCTATTATTTTCTTTGGACAAAATGTTTTACTATGGCTTAGTCCAAAACCAGGTATGTAGATTAGCAGATAGAGCCAATATATGTTGTCAACAAGTCTTCATAGTGTAACAACATTGCCATTTAGGGAATGCAGGAAAGGGTAAGGATATACACACTTAAATCAGTAACAATAGCTTAGTAATATAAATCACTGCCTTATCCATTTCAAAAAACATATAGTTTTTCAAAGCAACCTCACTATGTGATTTTGAGTCTCTATCCAAGGTGTCCTCTTCTTCCCTGTCTAATCATCAATGCTGTTCCCTCCTCATTTCACAAATTATTAGCCTACAGTATATTCTGAGATTTAATTGTCAGTATTGTAAAGCTCTACTACCATGGCCTACTATGCCTCCAGCAATTCATAGCAGTGTATTATTATGTCCTTATTATGTTAAATTCTGTTTACACTTTGGTTTTTATCTTAGTGGTTCAGTCAACAATCCTTGTGATAGATGCATACATCTGTGGATGACTGACAAATTTCATTTTCTCAATAAGGCACTGTAACTACAAAAGTGTAACTACAAAAGTGTAGATCTTTAGTGAATCATGACACAATAATAATAATTAACAACATTTGCACAGTGCTTTACAATTTACAAAATATTCATAGTCAGTATTGCATTAGATTCTCACAACAGCCTAATGAAATTATTAGTTCCAGTTCTGTGATCGAACTGAGACTCAAAGTGCTGTAGTAACTGTTTAGATTCTTGTTGTATCTTATATTGATAAAAAAGGAATGAGAAAAATGGTAAGAAAATGTCGTGTTTAGATTATTTGTGACTCAGCTCTTTTCCAAAAGTTTTGTTTATTTCTAATATACTGGAGGTTGGGTATGGTCTTATTTTATTGTTAGGTTTTTTGTTTGTTTGTTTTGCACCCCATCACAGGTCATTTTCTTTGGGCATAGTAAACTTTTATTTACTATTCCATTTTATTTTCTTCCACAGATAACAAAGTTAAAAGTAGTTTATGAATGTGAAATAAAAGTTATAATGTAAAACTACAGCAATATGTTCTCAAACTTAATAAACTGCTTATCAACTTTAATTTGGTCTTTTTTACATGCATATTTTGTTATGAAGTTGATGACAGTTGAATTTAACATAGTCACAGCATTTAGCTAATCTTTTTTTTTCTAATAAATATTTAAATCTTTCTTTCCTTCCTCCCCACCCCTTTTACAGTTTCTAAGCCTGGAAAGATTTGTGTCTTAGAAATCTGATTATATTTTAATACTGTGTCTTGAGTAGAAAAAATTTGCAAAATTTTTTTTTATAATGAATATATTTGTTTTCTTTTTTTTAGAGACTAAAGTCTTTAATGAGTAATAAAATTTTTGTGTCTATCTTGTTAATATTTTAACTATCCTATCTAATCTTAATTTCTAAATAATTTAATAATTATAAGGAAAAAAGCTTCCATTTTTATTTTTACATTTTAATGAATTATTTGTGTTCTGCATTTAAACTGTCACAGCATGAAATCAATTTTCTGCCTTAATTCATCACAAATCTCAGATTTCTATCACATTAATATTGTAATTAGAAACATTAATAGAAACGGCAACTTAAAAAGCATACTTTTCTTCTTGGCAATTTAGCATATTTCTCTGAGTGCATAGGACTTCAAGAACTTTCAGTCCACTAATAAATTTATTAACTCAAACTTAAAAGAAGTAGAAAGTCTCTTTCTTTCTCTCTCCCCATGGTCAGTCTGCTAAAATAGATTATTCATGCTTATTTGATTCAGGTAGGCTTTTGCAAGCTTCCCTACTAGGCCTGGGAATGTGGTACATTGAGGCCTTTTCAGAGGCTTCTGACATAGACCAGGCTTTTATTGCATGGTGTTTTATTATAGCCAAATCCTAGTCTCCACCCAGTTTGTAGGCACTCTGCTTATTCTTTTGAATCAGGAAAGGTTATCACCTACCTTAATCCATGCTGGTGCATGGATTAAGGACACCAGTGTGCCCCAGGATTCTCAAAGAGGATCCTGGAAACTTCTGGTTTCTTCTTTTTTGCTGTCTTTACTAAATTCTATTGGGCCTTAGGGGGATTTGCATCTGAAATGAGCAACCTGGTGTTTTTCTCAATGAAGACATCAGATCAAAGTTCAGTTAGTCAAGGCCTTTCTATAAAACATTAAGGGGGCTTGGACTTACACAATAAAAAGATGAGCTCTAGCAGAGATTGCAGTAAAAACATTCTGAACTATAATCCGGATAAAGAATAGATTATAGGCCAGAGAACAAACCTTGTTTAAGACTAATGCTAAGACCTTGCTTTAAACTAATAACTTTACATTTAAAAACTTTATCCCCTGTTTTTAAGAAACATTTTAATGTCATAATTTATTTGTCAATACTTTCAAAGCAAATGAACAAATCATGTTTTGGAAGCCACAATTCTATATATATTTTAGCATTGAAAAGACCAGATTGAAGCCAACTGCAGACCTCTTTCATTTATGAAAATAAGTAGCACTTTATGTAGGGATAAACAGTCATTTTATTGAGGAAGTAAATGTCAAACCCACAGACTAAATATGAAAAAAAAATGCTTCCATTAAATTTAAAATGTTTTATTAAATGTTACTTTATAATTTGATGTTTATAAGCACTTAAGAATATGAATCTTTGAAATCTTAGATGCAAATGTGTAATGGCAAGCAAATTTGTTATCTAAATTTAAAAATTGTCACTTAGTAACATATGAAACTACTATGTGTAGTTCTTTTATTTCTGTAGAAATTATCTAGTTTTGTTGGATGTTTTAAAATTTTCCTGTTTTGTAGCATTAAAGACAATGGAAATTATATAAGATTATATCAATGGAAATTATATAAGATAATATCAGAGCTATTGCTAGAAGCTATTGCCAGGTGGAATTTCTTTACATTTGAGCTTGGAGTGAGAGAGGGGGAGAGAGTAGAGAGAGGGAGAGAGAGAGGTAGAAAACAGCCCATGCAAAGCAATATTTTTGTTATGAGACTTTTACTAACCTGTGTAAATAAATTCAGTGTCAAGAGTTACTAGAATTTTTTAGGAGAAAGATAATTTGATGGAGAAATCATTAATAGAGAACACAAAACAAATTATTGAACTAATGATTATGCAAAGTTCTGATTGATCTAATATAGCTTACATACGTATTTCTACTTGATCATGTGCCTGTTCCTTTCTGGAGTATTGTACATTTTATGGTATAAGCTTAATTCTAAATTCCTAGGAAATGTTGAATATGCTCATATATTATGAACATTTAGTTTTAAAATGATACTCACTTTAATGTTTGAATACCTGGCTTCTTTTTGAGTTTCACCAATGAATTAACTTGGCTTAAATTTGCATTTAGTTTTTTAGCAACTTCATATTTAATTTGTCATTAAAGCTTTAACAGGTGCATATTTTTAATTTGTCATTAAAACCTAAAATCTTAAACATAAGAATTATGTGTATTAAAATTTTTAACTTAGAAAAGTATACAGTATAGAAAAAAAGAGGTGTTTAAATTCTTACTAAACTTAGGAACTACTAACAGTGAAGAAATATGAATGATGAAAAGCTTAATTCCTAGCTATACATAGTTTAAATAATAAAGGTGATTGTACCCTTCTTTGAAACTTAATAAGTATATGTATATTAGCTCTTCCTTATTAGCATTAAAATACATAAAATCCTATTAGCATTAAAATGCATAAGTGTAGCATTGTTTTGCAGGATATAAGACAAAGAAATTGTAGTTTAAAAATAATTTTTGAGCAACCCTGGGGTTTTTTGGCAGACTGGACCAGTATCATCTTCAAGATTTGGTCACTATTATGATGTATCAAAAAGTATGCCACAAGAACTACTGGAGGCTTCAAATTGTCATGGATTTTTTCTTCCACAAAAAATGTCTTCAAATCTTAAAGTAGAACCCTGGTAAGTTAATGTTCCATGTAATAGCAAATTTCAATTTCAAAAATTAATAGAATGCTTTTTTCTACCATACTTTCTGAAGTAATGCATATCTAAAGGTATAATAGTAAATACTGGCTTTCTGCATAATATGTAACCTTAATTATACATATGTTTCACAGGATTTCATTGTACGTTGTTTCCTTCTTTCCTTCCTTCCTTCCTTCCTTCCTTCTTTTTTTTCCTGGTCACATAACTATTACATCAACTATTACTTTAATTTGCAACTAGAAAACTCTGGTTGCCAGCCTGATCACAATCCTCGCTGGATTTATTTTCAATAAAATGTGAAACAGTTCTAAATCAGGATATTTTAACCCAAATAAATATTTAAGGATGATAATACCAGGGGAAATGTTATGAAATAATGCTGCTTGTTCAATATTTTGAAGTATCTCTCAAAAGGAAAACAAGTATATATTTTCCATTACTTATTTATTAAGACTTTCTAGTTGTGCTGTAAATAAAATAACCTGTATGATTTTAGGTAACAAGAGAATTTAGAGTTTGAATATTACAATGAAGATTTTTAAATATTAAAACAACATAACCTGCTTATACTGCTAAGAATTTATTAAAGCAGAGCTCTGAAAATTACAGGACTTGATATTGAATAATTTATAAATTCTTAAGAATATTTAATTTCAGTTCTTACTAGAGTAAACTGTGAATAGATTGTGGCCTCTATTTTCTTCAGCATTATAAAACCATTTCTTTTAAAGCAAAATGAGTTATTAAATGTAGATATTTAATAGACAGGAAATTGTGAACTGAAATGACTTTAAAATCATATTCTTTTTTCTAGAATTAAATTGGGAGAATTTAGTGAGGACTGTTCTTCTTATTAAATCTGTTTCGAAAAATGTTCTTCACTTTCTAATGGGGTTAGATAATTAGTATAGGCTAAAGACTTGGCAAACATGAGACTTTAATGTTGTTTTAGTATTAATAGCTAACATCAATGAATGATTACAATGTGTCAGTCACACTACTACATACTTTACTTCTATTATCTTGTATAGCCCTTGTATTAACCCTATAAAAGCATGTATTCCTGTTTTCCAGAAAATATTGAAAATCTCAGAAGTGATTTATCTGAGGCTTAATTATTAAGTGATAGAAACAGGACTAATCTGTCAGATCTATCCCTTTCTTTTTGCTTTATTACTTCATAAGATTTTGGTTCCTTTCACTTTTAACTTTTTGTGTTATGGAGGAAAGAGTACTGAGAAAGGATTGGGGAGGAGGGGTGTGTTCTGATGCTGAGTTCATTCTACTGTTAGCCTTGAGCACATCTCATGAATTCATTGAAAATCAATATCCTCATGGAAAAATTGGGAGTGAGGAAAAAGGGAAACACCACCTACTCTACCTGTATCAGTAATTTTTTGTTAAGTTGGAATGACTATATTGCTCTTACTAGGTCTCAACTTTTGCCACAGACTGAACCAAACATGCATATACCTGCAGGCTTGGGAAATAGGTCAAAATAACTTGTCCATAATTTCTCAAATGGCAAATGGTAGAACTCGGATTCAAAGTTAATTCTCCCTGACTCCAGATTCTTTTTTTTTTAAACAAGCAACCAAAACTTATTTTATTATGGAAAATTCTCTAAAGTCTCTCTTTGAAGAAGGAGTGATATCATAAGGAAGAATTATTATTGAAAACAAAGCAGTACTTTGGAAAAAGATTGCAGAAAGATCTACCATTTCTTGTAATTGGTGGAACTCATAATTGTGTAATTCAAAAGAGAATGTCTATAAATAAACTTTCTTTGACTGTAAAACCAGAATGTGCTTCAATAATGTACTTAATTTAAATTGGAAGCAAACATTTTTTTTTCTTTAATTAGAATTTGTCAATGCTTTGTTCCTCAGAAATCAGTTTGATCTTGGGAGCTTTTCATGAATGTTAAAGATAGTTCTCCTGGGTCCCTTCCTTCTTTTAGGTTGAATTTTTGTGATTGCCTGTATATTATATTCTTAATTCAGTTCTTTTTTGTTTTGTTGTTCTAATTAGTTATACATGACAGTAGAATGCGTTTTGACACATCATACATAAATGGAGTATAACTTCTCATTTTTCTGGCTATAAAAGATATAGAATCACACTGGTCATATAATCATATATGCACATAGGGTATATCTGATTCATTCTCCTATCCTTCCTACACCTATCCCCCATCCCCCATTCACCCCCTCTCTCTAATTCAAAGTATCTCTATTCTTCCCTAGCTCCCCCCCCCCCACCTTGGGAATTAGCATTCACATATCAGAGAGAACATTCAGCCTTTGGTTTTCTGGGATTGACCTATTTCACTTAACATGATATTATTCTTCAGCTCCATCCATTTGCCATAATTTCATTCTTCTTGAAGGCTGAGTACTATTCCATTGTGTATATATACCACATTTTCTTTATCCATTCATCTGTTGAAAGGCATCTAGGTTGGCTCCATAGCTTGACTATTGTGAGTTAGGGGGTTTTAAAAATTGATGTGGTTGTGTCACTGTAGTATGCTGATTTTAAGTCATTTGGGTGTAAACCAAGGACTGGGATAGCTGGTCAAATGGTGGTTCCATTCCAAGTTTTCTAAGGAATCTCCATACAGCTTTCCATAATGGTTGCACCAATTTGCAGTGCCACCAAAAATGTATGAGTGTACCCTTTACCTCCCATCCTCGCCAACATTTATTGTTGCTTATATTCTTGATTTATTGCCATTCTGACTGGAGTGAAATGAAAGTGTAGTTTTGATTTCATTTCTGTAATTACTAGAGATGTTGAACATTGTTTCATATATTTGTTGATTGATTATAATTCTTCTGTGAAGTATCTGTTCAGTTCCTTGGCCCATTTTTTGATTGGGTTATTTGGGTTTTTGATGTTAAGTTTTTTGAGTTCTTTATATATCCTAGAGATTAGTACTCTATCTGATGTGCATGTGGTAAAGATTTTATCTTATTCTATAGGCTACTTTTTCACATTATTGTTTCCTTTGCTGAGAAGAAGCTTTTTAGTTTGAATCCATCCCATTTATTGATTCTTTATTTTATTTCTTTTGCTTTAGGGGTCTTGTTAAGGAAGTCAGTTTGTAAGCCAACATGATGAAGATTTAGGCCTACTTTTTCATCTGTTAGGTGCAGGATCTCTGTTCTAGTGTCTAAGTCTTTGATCTACTTTTGAGTTGAGTTTTATGCAGGATGAGAAATAGGGATTTAATTTCATTTTACTGCATATGGATTTCCAGTTTTCCCAGTACCATTTTTTGAAGAGGCTATCTCCAATGTATGTTTTTGGTACCTTTGTCTAATATAAGAAAACCATATTTATGTTGTCTCTGTGTCCTCTATTCTGTACCATTGGTCTACATGACGATTTTTGTGCCAATACCATGCTGTCTTTGTTACTATAGCTTTATAGTATAGGTTAAGGTCTGGTATTATGATGCCTCCTGCTTCACTCTTCTTGCTACGAATTGCTTTGGCTATTCTGGGTCTCTTATTTTTCCAAATGAATTTTATGATTGCTTTTTTCTAATTCTATTAAGAATGTCATTGGGATTTTAATAAGAAATGCATTAAATCTGTATTATGCTTTTGGTAGTATGGGCATTTTGACAATATTAATTCTGCCTATCTAGGAACTTAGGAAATCTTTCCATCTTGTAAGTTTCTCTTCAATTTCTTTCTTTAGTGTTCTATAGTTTTCATTGCAGAGGTCTTTCACTTCTTTTGTTAAATTGATTCCCAAGTTTTTTTTTTTTTTTTTTGTTGTTGGTTGGTTTGTTTGTTTTCTTTTGAAGCAATTGTGAATGGGGTAGTTTTCCTAATTTCTCTTTCAGTGGATTCATCACTGATGTATAGGAATGCATTTGATTTATGGGTGTTCGTTTTATATCCTGTTACTTTGCTGAATTCATTTATGAGTTTTAGAAGTTTTCTGGTGGAATTTTTTGGATCTTCTAAATATAGAATCATGTCATCAGCAAATAGAGATAGTTTGATTTCTTTTCCTACTCATCCCTTTAATTTCTTTCTTCTGTCTAATTGCTCTGGCTATAAGGACGATATTGAATAGAAGTGGTAAAATAGGGGATAGGGATATAGCTTAGTTGGTATAGTGCTTGCCTCACATGCACAGGCTCTGGGTTCAATCCCCAGCACCAAAAAAAAAAAAAAAAGGTGAAAAAGGCATCCTTGTCTCGTTCCAGTTTTTAGAGGAAATGCTGTCTCAATTTTTTTCTGTTCAGATTGATGTTGGCTTTGGGTTTAGCATATTAGCTTTTACAATGTTGAGTTATGTTCCTACTATCCCTAGTTTTTCTAGTATTTTAAACATGAAGGGGTGCTGTATTTTGTCAAATGCTTTTTTGCATCTATTGAGATGATCATATAATTCTTGTCTTCAAGTCTATTGATGTGATGAATTATATTTATTGATTTCTGTATGTTGAACCAACCTTGTATCTCTGGGATGAACTCCCCTTGATCGTGGTGCACTATCTTCTTAATATATTTTTGTATGTGATGTGCCAGAATTATATTGAGGATTTTTGCATCTATGTTCATCAGAGATATTGGTCTGAAGTTTTCTTTCCTTGATATGTCTTTGTCCGATTTGGGTATCAAGGTGATACTAGCTTCAAAGAATGAGTTTGGAAGGCTTCCCTCCTTTTCTATTTCCTGGAATAATTTGAAGAATATTGGTGTTAATTCTGCTTTGAAGGTCTTGTAGAACCCAGCTGAGAATCTGCCTGACTTCAAATTCTGTGTTAGTAATAGAAATACTGCCTCCAGTCATGGAGTGCTTAGGTAAATAAATGTAAAACATGGACTGGGGATGTAGCTCAGTAGTAGAGGAATTACCTAGTATGTATGAGGCCCTGGGATCAATCTCCAGCAACACAAAGGGAAAAAGAAAAGTAAAATGTGCAATAAGTATAATGTAATTAAACAACA